GAAAGTTTTGTATTTCGAACTGGATGCTGGTATCATATTGCCCTCGTGCATAGTAGATCACGTTTAACAACCTCTACCATGTCCTTATTTGTTGATGGTAGATTCGTAGAGGTGTCAAAATGCAATTATCTTCTTCAGCCTGCACCAAACAGGGCAATTCGAACTTACATCGGAACACCAAAAGACATTGCGAGAAAAGCAGGCACTGGCAAAGCAAAACTTGCTTGGGATTTGGGTCCGTGTTATTTTTTTGAAGACGAACTAGATGGAGATATAATCGGGGTGTATTATCATCTCGGTCCTCGTTACTCTTCCAATTTCCAAGATTCTCTGGGTCAATTTCAAACCTATCAAACGTCCACGTTACTCAACATGAGACTTGAAGCGTTGAGCCGTCATAGAAAGGATTCTCCAATTGAACTCGACAACTTGGCTATGGTAAATGCAATACGCGGAAACAATAGTCAAACATTGCCTGAAGATAAAATAATTTTTGCTTTTAATGCGAGTAATGTCCTTGTCTGCGGACAAAATGCCAGTATCCTTGGAGCCGGACTTTCTGAAGGCACATCGCAAGCATTGGCGCTTGAAACTGCTAACACAAAGGTGATCTTGAACGCAGCAGTGCCGAAAGTCGAACGTGCTTTGAGGGTACCTCATGGACTTGCCTATTTGATGGGTGACCCAGTGACAGCTGTTCCGTATGGTATGGATGATTCAATTTGGAAGATTGGCGGTTCAGCGGTAGTCCTGAGATTAATTGAAAGGGCGGAGGTATACGTTTTTTTAAATTATTGGTGATCTGTCGATAATGGTTGATTCTATTGAAGTTAACAGTTAGTTTGAACTTGCTCATTTAGACATCAACAGATCTGTGTAAAACAGTATGTACACTGATTGAACTCATCCGTTTTAGCTGGCGAAATTCCGAAGATATGGAAAGGATTCATGGATACGAGATATTGGCATATCTATTAAAGCAGAAGCACGGCCTTTTAACCATGGAAATTTTAAATCTACTACTTGCCTTTGTAGGACTCAATTCAACTAGCCCAAAGTAAGTTTGGAAAAACATATAAATAACTTTTTATCAATTTTCGAGGAGATTCTTTCTTCCTCCAATTAAACTTATCTTTTTTTTTTTTTTATTGTAGCGATTCGGTTATTATAAATCCTCTCGCATATAGGTTTCTAATATTGGATTTCGACTTATGGAAACATTCTGATGAAGCAGTACAAAGGGCACATCTCCAACAGTTTGCAACCTTTATTCAATTTAGCAATCACCATCATTTCAATGCAAAACGCCTAAGCAAAATGCGTATCCTTGATTAGAAGTTCTGTAATTTAATATTTCCAATGTATTTTGCTTTATCATGTATCTCCTTGACAAATTGATGTTGACATTTAGATGTTGTAAAGAAGATGTTGGTGGCTTTGAAGACGAACGTTTATCCCAAGGGTTTGCTTACTGAATTTGTAGCAACCCTGAAAATAGTAGTGAAGTATAATTTTACGACTGAAGTCATAAGATCAATTGCCACTTTTTTGGTTTCTACATTAAATAAGCGTGAGTTTTATTTCTCCTTGTGTCTATTTTTACCCTCTCATCTTAATACTTAAATATATGTATATTTCCTTTACTTTCTAGCATCTCTTAACCGTCGTGTAACTCGTAAGGATTCACCATTTAAAAATAACGTAGACATGAATTTTACTAGTGAAAATAGTAGAAGATCGACGCAAAGCATAATAACCGATGTTAGGAGTCTTTCTGTTGAAACGATGGCGAAACAAGTTGGCGTCATGGTCATGGAAATGCTGACTGAAATAGTTTGCGATAAACTAAACCCTTTTTATGTCAACAAATTTGCGACCACAATTACAAACAAGTGGCCGCTGCTTTTTTTCAGTAAAGATTCCAATCCCTTGTGGGTAGTTTGCGCGGCCAGAATTTTATCCAGACTTTTTCACTCCCAAGGTGCCAATTGCATAAACAAATTTCGTGCATCATCTGAAGGGTTTATAGTTATGCAAAAACTGCTTCCTCAATGGTGGTACCTCTCACAATTGCATCAAGTTTTATTCACCATGCTTTTCGGAATAGACATTTGCGATGTTCCTATGGATGCACCATTTGATCTGTTTTCCCTTTTGACATTATTCAGAGCGAAAGATGACACCACCCGTGTAGTTGTTCCCGATGTGATGCCAATTATCCTGCTCATGATGAAGAAAGGAATTAACACAGTGGTACAATTGAGCTATAGCATTGAAAAGGATCTATTTGCAAGAGGTACAACTCGGGACGACGCGGCAATCAAAAAAATTCATATTGAACGGAAACATCAAAGACGACGTTCACGATCTCTTTCTAGAGACTTGGAAATAATCATCGGTAGAATCTTATATAGAGTTGTGTTTTCCGTTGTCATTACTTATTTCACTCATTCACATTTTTAAATGCCTTACAGATGACGAACCCGCAAAAGAAACCTTATCCAAACTTTCACATGTAGAGCAAACCCTAATACACTTCATTACAAACATGTACAATAACTCCTCGGAATTCAGCGAACTATGTTGCAAAAGTGAAATTATGGATAACTTCATGGAAATATTATTTTACATAATATGCTCGTGTGATGAAATATCAATCGAAACAGAACTTTATTCGAAAGATCTAGGGGTATCCTTTGACGCAGACTCGTCTTTTGACATTCTTCTGAACAATGGCACATCCAGTGTATTGCCAATATTGACTGCTATATCGCGTCAATCCAGAAATTTCCTTGGCGATGAGGACGGTGAGGAGATGACCTCTTTTTCTTCTAGCAATAATTACCTGACGGTCAGTCCTTGTGCTTCACCTTTACGAGCCAGCCCTGTACAGAGTGATCTAGATGACGAATCCGATTATGGATTAATCCCACCAAGATCACCTACGAAACGTTCAACAAAGAAGTTTGACTATGCAGACCATAAAAACGATACAGTAGAGATCTTGCTCGAATTTATTGTTTCAATATGCGTCAATTCAATTGTGGATCCCAAAGTGAAATCCTTAAATGGTTTAGAACACGTCTTGAAGGTATTTATGTTTGCATTATTAGAATCACGGTACTATTTTCTGGTAAATTTGTGTCAACTAAAATTTCCTTTTTTAGTCTTTTCCACCGTCGTTTTTAGAACACAAGGTTCGTTTATTGTAATCATATGAAGAAATCAGTGCACCACACATCGACAAATGAGTTCATCCAAATATTCGATTTACCTTTTTTTAGATTCAATTCGAGAGCTACATTCTGTTGCACGCTTTAGGAAGCCTCAGAAGTACATTGCAACTGGACATGAGTTTGTTACAAGATCATCGTATCGTTTCAAACACAGCTCGATTTTCGCAGATCGTCGTCGATGCAATATATCAAGGTTAGAAATCATCCTTAATGAAACGCATTCTTTACAGAACCTTTATTAAAAGTTCTTATTTTAGGATGGTTTTTGAACGGGCAAAATCAAGTATACGAGTTTCTTACGATTGTCTTAGAGGGCATTCAACGAATTGAAGAATCGGGCGCGAAACGTATCAACGATCAATCGATACCAATTTTGTATCGCTCTTTGGACAGGATCATTTTGTTTAAGTTATCCGAAATCGATCAAGATTCGACAGAAGCTGAGATTATCATTGAAATGCTTGGAAAACTGATATACCACCAAAAAGTCATCTTCAGTCCCTACAATACAGATCTCGATTTTGTGAGATGCCTGTGTTACCATCTTTACAGATTCTTGCTTTACGATAATCAAGAAGTAAAAAAAAATTCAATGAGTGTATCCTCTTTGTCTATAAAAAAAAGAGCTGCCACATTTTTTTTTTCTTTCTTTCGTCATATAAGCTTTTGGATCCTTGATAGATCTTGTGTTTTTTAAATAGATTTGGAAATTGCTCATGCTTCAAAAGCCCGGAGAGATGTCTGGAATGTTGAAAACGCGAGTTAAAGGGATAGGTTGATTTCATTTCCATCTCGTTTCCCATAATTGGTTCACGAAAAAGTACCACTAATGACAAGCCTTATCTATTAATTAGAATATAAAGAATTGGTTGAAGGATTTGCTAAATTATTGGAAATGGTAGGTTTTAAAAAGATTCTAAAATTGTCTACAATTGATTAGTAAAGAATGCAACTATGTAAATAACGTATGGTGGCAATACTAGGAACTTAACTCTTTCCTGGCATGGATCGAAGCTCGTAAAGTTCAACTGGACGCTTTGTTCCAAGAAAGCATTTCTAAAGTCTGGGAAGCACTAATTGCAAGTGAAATAAAAAATTGCAGGGACTTTTTGAAAAGCACACACACCAAAAGAATGAACAAGCTTAGGAAAATACATAAGAAGATTTCGACAGAATTGGAATTTTTTGACCAGTATAAAGTTAAAACCAGTCAATGGTCAAGGCATATACAAGAAATTGAGACAAGCAGATATTACAAGTCTATTCAAGACAACATAGATCATTACAACTATATACGAGATCAGTGGACAAAAACATCATCCGACTTATTCCGCGAGCGGGCTCTCTGGGGTTCCCAAACGGTCGATCCCGAGGCTAAATGGAGATTGGATTTCACGGAAGGTGAAGCACCAACATTTACGAAAAAAAAAAAAAAAACTTGAGATTTCATCTCTGACAATGCTTCTGAATTGTAGGTCGATGTCGAATGCGGAAAAAGCTAGAGCAAAACGAGGACTTAAGATTATATTCCTATCGACCAAAAAGTAGCAAATATGAGAATGTCATGAAAGAGGTTCGGATGACGCCTTACCATTTTTATGGATAGTATTATGTTCACGAAAAATTTAATCTAACACGTTTCGTGTACCAAGGGCGGTAATGACAGTTTACAATCGCCGTTGACGAGCAGTCCGATTAAATCATCAAGTTCGTATTCTTTTGTTTATCATAATCATTTGCTTGCTGATTCACTAACACTTTTTTAAATAACTTTACGGGCAGGTCTGGAAGTTCCCAAGATACATCCGAAAAGACGTAACTAAACATTCTTTTAATGAGGGTGCGTGCAGATTAATTCGGATATTAACTTTTATCTACGTATCTTAAAGCTAAATCTCCAGAACGCCAAATGACTCTTACACCTAATTCAAATGATCTGGACACTCCAAACGATGACATTGAATCAGTAGGAAATAGTAAGCTTTAAAACTTTTAATATGAGACACTTGACACCATGTATATTTATTATTGACCCTTTTACGATTAGGTCAATTCACCGAATCACAAGCTGAGATTGATGAAGAGAATGCGTTTGAAGAAGATAAAAACAGAAAGGTTTTAAGATCATTGGAAAATGGCGATTCGGTGTTAGACATATATAACATAAGTCGTATCCTTGGGTTGGATGCCTGTGGTAAATTTAGTGGGATTTATGCTCAAAATAATGAACGCGTACATTATTTATTTACGTTATGATATTTTTTAAATTTTGAACAGAGGGCCTTTTGCTGTTGTGTAAGCAAAATTTGTATTTAATAGACGGTTACTTTCAAACATCTGATGGAGAAATTGTGGATATTTGGGATGCCCCAACAAAGGTTTATATTAATTCAAAGTTGATTTCCACTTATTTTCATATATAGGAGCTTGAAATAATTTTATTTTTTAATTAAAGGAACGTGATCAATATTTGCAAATGCTTGCATCACATGCCGGTTATTCTAATGATACGTCTATCAAAGAAAAAAAGCATAAGAGTAGGAAATGGTGGGTGCACGGACAAATCATTATTCGTGGTGTCATATTTTTCAGAAACGAGTATTAACTTTTCTTCCAACTAACAGGGCCTTTGAGGACATCAAGGAGGTTCATAAAAGGAAATTTCTATTTCGGTGAGGGAAATTAGTTTCTGATAATTTATAGATAGATACCTTCAAAAAAAAAACTTATTACCATTTTCAATTTTTTTAGTGATGTTGCATTAGAAATATTCTTTGCCGATGGGCGGAATTATCTGATCACCTTTTTCCTGAAAGAACGTGATACTGCATATAATAAACTTGTTGCGCGAGCAACGTTCTCAATAAGCGGATCTGAATCAGTCATCGGCACATCCAATCCTCTTGATGCGGTGTCACCCGTTAATTCGCTACCTTCGGCAGGATTACGTTTCAATTTACCGAGTTTTTTTGCGAATTCTTCACTAGCAGAATTAACTTCAAGATGGGAGAAACGAGAAATTTCGAATTTTCAATATTTAATGCATCTAAATACTCTTGCTGGTCGATCATATAATGGTATGGTGAATGTTTGCAAATGTATCTGAAAGAAATGTTGTCTAATCATTTTTTTAGATCTTACGCAATATCCCGTTTTCCCTTGGATATTGGCCGACTACACGAGTGAAGAAGTGAGTTAATTGTTTGTTTGTCTGTTATGCCTTTCGTGCTGTCAATCTTATCTAGGGCCTTTGAATGTTTTAGCTTGACTTGACCAAACCTGAAACTTTTCGTGATTTGTCTAAACCCATGGGCGCGCAGACTCTTGAGAGGAAAAGTCGGTATTTCAATCCTCTTCGAACTCAAAAATGTGAGAACGCGTTGATCTTATTTGCGCTTTTTGTTTTTTTTTATTTTATAGAGGAATTCCAAATCCGGTACAGATCTTTTGATCCTACTGCAAATGCGACAACACCGGCATTTCATTACGGGACACATTATTCGTCTGCAATGATTGTTTGCTCCTATTTGATACGCCTGGAACCTTTCACTCAACAATATCTGAAACTTCAGGTAACTTTATGAGAAGGAAGCTTGCGCTATTCATCTTTACGCATTTTAAACGAGCATTTTGTAAATCCTTAGGGTGGACACTTTGATCATGCCGATCGATTGTTTCACTCAATCGCCAAAGCATGGCTGTCTGCAACTCGAGATAACATGAGCGATGTCAGAGAACTGATTCCAGAATTCTTTTATTTGCCAGAGTTTTTGGAAAACGCAAATAAATTTAATTTTGGTAGATTATTATTTTTCTTCTTCATTTCAAGTGAATGGCATTAGATTGAATTTTTTCTATTTGTTGATACAGGTGTCAAGCAAGGAACTGGTGAAGTGATTGATTCGGTCATTCTTCCGCCATGGGCATGTGGCGATCCCAAAATATTTATACATAAGCATCGACAAGCCTTAGAAAGTGATTATGTCAGTGCACATCTTCACGAATGGATTGACTTAATCTTTGGCTATAAACAACAAGGACCCGCCGCAGTAGAAGCTGTAAATGTTTTTCATCATCTCTCCTACGAGGGTGCAATCGGTAAGTGAAGATCTTTTTTTTAATATATTTTACGATAATCTCTGGAGTATTAATTACATTTGCGAACTTAAAATTCACAGACCTGGACGCCATTACCGATCCGGTCGAAAGATCAGCAACGACAGGAATTATTTATAATTTTGGTCAGACTCCACGTCAATTGTTCTCTCAACCTCATCCGGCGAGGTTAACTGTCGCATCCGACCCAAATAACAATATCGGAAATTTTAAATTGCACGAAAAAATGGAATTCCTAATGCAATCTATGCACCCAATATTAGGTGAACAATCGAACTTGTTGATTCATCTTTTAATATTCGATATTTATCACTAATATCAGAAATAAACTATATAGACATTCGGCTACAGGTTCACGACATCCGACTAATAAATGATCGCTTGATGGCTGTTAGCACACAAAAAGTCTTGGTTCCTCCAAATTACACATACTATGTTGAATGGGGTTACTCTGATAACAGTCTGAGATTTCATAATTTAGACACCAGAAAGGTTCGTATATTTGGAGTTAAATCCATTGTGAATCGTAGTAATTCGCAGCTTGCTAATGTAAAAATCAAAAAAAATTTTCAAGATGATGGGCTTGTATGAAAATCTTCATTTACAAACTATAAGTTGTGCGTGTTTCGCTGATGGGCGAACATTTATTACTGGAGGAACGGACGCGGTAAGAAACTTAGTGAATCTTCATTGAATGTGTCCAATGCAGTTCACAACGGATCAAATTCTAAGAGCAATCGTACGTGAAATTTTAACTGTAGGTCGTTTGTATTTGGCGATTAAAATGGCCAACAAAAACTCCCGAATTTACTTTTATGAAATGTTTACGAGGACATTCCGCAAAGATTAATTGCGTAACTGTTTCAAGGTCATACAGTATTATTGTTAGTGGATCAGATGTAGGTTAAATTTAATATTTAGAGGTGACTATATAAACGAAACAACTATAATAAAGATCGATTTTTGTTCATTTGCAGGACACTACTTGCATAATATGGGATTTGAATAGAATGAAATACGTAAGGCAGCTACAAAACCATGAAACTTGCATTCAGGTAAAATTGCATAATTTGACTTTCTTAAATTCGTTAGCATTGATTTAAATGTTCAATATTTGATTGTTCTGATTTTTATTCAATTAATACAGTCTGTCTCAATAAATGATACAACCGTAAGTAACTGTATTCATATTGTAATACTACGAAATTCATTCTAAAAAATTCCCCTTTGCTATAGGGCGATATCTTGACATGTAGTGGATCAATAATTCGCGTGTGGGGCATCAACGGTGATCTTATGATAAAAAAGGACACACAAGATCCTATACTTTGCTGCGTATTCTATGAGGTAACTTTAGTAAAACATTAAGAGCTTTAATTTATCTTTCGTATAAATGTGTAGGTGACAAGTAGTCTAATTATTACTTAGGGTAAACAAAACGAATGGCTCGAAAAAGATGTTATTCTTACGGGGCACAAGAGGGGTGTGGTCAAGGTTGGTCCTCAATATTTCTCGTGGTTACATCTGCGTTAAAATATTTTGCACACTTTGCCTGAATATTTAATTTAAACTATAGATCTGGAACAAAGTTTTAGAAACAATATCGGAATCGGAAAATAATGGTAAATCGATCTTTTGATTCTAGTATCAGCGATGTCGATCAATATCATTAACCCAAAACTTTGTTAGTGTGTAAATGGGATTTCACACTGCGTCACACATTGAAACACGAAAATAGGGTGGGTCCAGAGTATACGGCTGACATCGTCGCTCTGTTGCCCTCTGGGTAAATATCGTTTGGAGTCAATTTAAATCATGAAAGCCTCTCACTCAAAATGGATTGTATTTTTTTCATCAGAACTCAAAAAGTTATTTATAGTGGAGACTCGACAGGTAAGGTTTTCTCGTGGGTCTTACCCGACACCAAAATCGAATCTCACTGGATGCCGGATGGACAATCTGATGTCTGCTCGAAATGTGAAGTCCGATTCGCTGTATTAGGTAATTTGAGTAATCAATATTTTGCTTTTTATCTAAATTGTGTCCGTACTCATTTCATCCCTCCATTATAAGAACGGAAGTTCCATTGCAAAACTTGTGGGGGTATTTTTTGCTTTAATTGTACGCAAAGTAAATTAGATAGAAATTCGAAGTACTGTGAACATTGCTGGAAGAAGATAGATACGTTACTTTCGTCTTAATTTAATATTTTGTACTATATTGTATTTTCATAAAAAAAAAAAAAAAATCAAAATGTTAGTGTATCGAGTTTTCATTTACCCATCTAATTTGCGACATTCGGCGTACAAATGTATATCCTAAATCCCTTACCGGATGGATAACATAATCTATTGAGGATTCTTAAGGCATTTCGATTGAGGGTATGGTGGACTTATCACATTCGCTACAAGAAATTTGTTGAGAATTTCTTCACTTCTACTTTTAACGCCATAAATAATGAGACACTTTAATTTAAAAAAATAAAAACTGCCTTTTCCATTGAAAATTAAACAGTACGTCACGTTCATAATAAATTGGTACTACTTCTAGCTGTCAAAAAGATCAATTATGATTTAGAAATAAAAGGATGTTAATTACTTTGATAACTTCTCACCACACGTATTTATTATTATAAATTCTAATTTTTGAATAATTTTAAACTATAAACTTAGCCGTTTTTTATTCAACTATTTCAAAAAAATCCTTAAGTTTGCTTTCATTTGATAAAATTATATATTTTTAATATACAGTGCAAGTCACAATGATCTTGATACTAAGGATTTAAGAACTATATACAAATCTATAAACTTATTGATGGGTGTACTGCAATTAGTAAAATGTTTAGCTATAGTATAGTAGTATTGTATTATTATTTTGGATCAAAAATGAATTAAATGCTTTCAAATTGCAGTCTATTTAAAAATAAATAAATAAAAATTACGTATAAATTATTGATTATTTTTTAATCTTTATATTAAAAGATATTTCAAAAATAATTTTTAAATAAATATAATTACTGTTCTGTTATTTATACTTGTCACAAAATTTTGAAAAAATTTTTTTGATATTTGATAAAATGTCTTGAATAGTAATAACTTTTTTTTTTAAAAAAGTATTAATTATTATTATAAAAATTTAAATAGTTTTAAAAAAAATTTTTCTTAAAAAAAATAATAATAAATTTTTTAAACTATTTTATAAAATAATTTAAATCTATCTTGTTTTTCTGATATTTTGTATTTATCAAATTTTCTTTAATTTGAATTATATTATTTTTAAAATAAAAAATTGTTTCATATATTGATATTACAAAAGTATATATCTTTAAAAATAATTTTTTAAAACATTTAAACTATATATAATATATATTATATATATGTATATACATGTTGCTAAAATTTGTAGATCCTTGACACAATTGATACAATTATTTGATATAGTTAATTGAGTTACTATTAAAACATATAAATAATTAAATCATGACACAATTATTTTTAAAAATTTTGGGAATTAAGTCAACAGCAAATAATTTATACCACATATATATATTATTATTATTAATTTTAAATAATTTTTAATTTTTATAATTTTTTATAATTTTTTTTGAAAAAAATAAATAGTATATACAATTTTATTAAATAATTTATATTTAATTCTATAAATACAAAATTTATTAAAGTTAATTTTTTTTTTTATCTATAGTTTTATTCAGTTACATAAGTTTACTATTATCAGAAAAATTCATATTTAAATAAAATCTTTAAAAGATAAAAATACTATATAAACTATTTAATATAATTTAAATTTTGATAATTATTGTTTAAAAAATATATTTTTTAAAATTAATTAGAATATTTAAATAATTTGTTCAATACCTTTTATTTAAAATCTTAAAAGAATATTATATTTATTATTACTATTTGTGATTTCAGATTTTTCTTTTAAGTAGACTTTTGATTTATAATAAATTTAATATATAAATTATATTATATATATGTATATGATATAAATTATTTATTGTTACTATAATTCTTAAAATTCTTAAAAATAATTGTATTATATCTTAATTATTTATATTGTATGTTTTAATAGTAACTTAATTAATTATATCAAATAATTATATTAATTGTATTAATTGTATCAATAATCTATAAATTTTAGCAATATATAGTATATAGTAGACTTTATTATACAATATGTTGATACAATACAAGTTATTTTTAAAAAGATTATAAAATATAAACATTAATACATAAATTAATAAAAGATCTATTAAATAGTTTTGGTATATAGAAGTTATATTATATTTAATATTTATATCTTTAAATTTGATAATTTATATTAACTAAGAGTTTTAAAATATTTATTAAAAGATTTTGAAATTATATTTACTTAATTATTATAGTTTTTAAATTTGATAGCTAATATTAACTAAAGAATATATTTTTAAAATATTTATTAGAAAATAAAATTTTAAATCAATACTAAAATATTATTGAAGTAATATTAACTTATAATAAATTTAATATATGAATTGTGATTTATTATATTAAACTTATAGTAAATTCAGTATTAACTTAATATTGAAATAATATTATTAGAAACTTTATTAAAAAATATATATATTTTTATTATAATTTTTTTATTATCTAATAACTATATAACTCAAAGTCAAAATATAATAAATATATTTATTAAAACTAATATATACAAAAAACTTTCTAATAAAAACTCTAAAAAAAACTGTTTCCCGTACACAAATTTTTTCTTAAAAATTTCCTTTTATAATAATTTTTCTTCAAAATTAAAGAAACAAATATTTTTTTCACCTTTTAATACCCAAAAGTCCTTTACACTTCCTTTTTCTTTACTACAAGAGCCTCAAAGAAATTAAAAAAGTATACTGGTGCATCAGATAAGACCTCTGGCTAGAGAAAAGCAAGTTTGGGGATCTTGCTTTTTCTTTGAATTGTATGAGAAAAGGTCCATGGCAGTTACTTCTTTATAAATCTTCCTTGGGGTTCTTCTCATTTTCTTTTCTTAATAATACACAAATCTTTTTAAATAATTATACTTTCTGCTTGAAGGACTTCTTTTTATCTCAAAAAACCAAACTTCACATCAAAATTGTTTATATTGTTGACTTGGAGCACCAATAATATATTCAATATTTACTTCTCACTATTACCCAATATATTTTGCTATGCCACCAAAAATCCAAAAATCTCATTCAAAAAATTTTTCAACAAAAAACCACAATCAGTTTACTCCTGTCAATTGATCAACATTCCAAACTCAATTAATCAAACACTATCAATTTCCTAAACAAATCCATACAATCAAAAAACTATATCCTGATTAATGTAAACAAAATCTTTTATGAAGACAACAACCAAAACAAAATCACATTACCAACAAACAAACTAATTACAAATCATATCAATACAATAACAATATCATCACTACGATCAACCATCTATGGAAAAAATATACCATCAACACTATTGTATACTTTGGACAGTAGCCTGGCTATTTCTGAAAGTGCAATAGTACTTCAGTTAAACAGAACTACCAGTGTGGTGCACTTCATCCAAAGCATCTATAGCTTTACAATTAGTGTTACTGTACTTATTTTTTTGTTTGGTGTTTTTTTTTTTTTTCATTTTTCAACTTCTTATAGTCTTACACATAAACCTGAGTAGGTATTTATAGCTGCTCGGCACTATTTAGGATATACATCAGTTTTAATATTTATTTTTCATGTCACTTAGATAGTTTCTATAGGCAAACTAGCATTAAACTCACTGATCAATTGGTTATATGAGAAATGTTGTCACTTTCACAATGTAAAATTATTTTAAAATTTTTATAATAATAAAACTTAAAAAAAAAAAAAAAACAAAAAACTTTTTAATTTTAAATTACTTAAATATACTATCTTTTTAATAGTATTGAATAAAAAGTATTAAAATATTCAATTGTTTTATAAAACAATCTTTGTAAAGTAAATACTCTTTAATACAATTGAATTAGCAGATTAAGTGATTTAAAATTGATAGTAGAATTTTAATTTTTTATATAATCTTTGAATCTTATATATAAATAAAAAATTTATATAATTGAATTATTAAAAATATATTAACTATAGTTAACTTATATAGTTAATAATAGTATTAGTCATTATAAATTATTTATATATAAAAAAAAAAAAAAAAACTCTTTCCTACAACACCTCCATCTATAGAAAATTGCCTTTTTAGGAAGCTTCTTTCTTTCAAGGAACTTTGTCTAGCAGAATATGTCTTTTTGGGAGGGGACATAGACCAGAAAACTGATTTAGAGCAGTGAGGGTTTCAAAGATAAGATTGGCCCCTGGAGTTTCCAGCAATGGAGCCCACACTAAGAAATCTAGTAACTGGTAATGGCACTGGGCAATAACTTGGAACAGAGAAGACGAATAAAAAGAAAATTTTTTATGTGAAGGCCATCTCTATACACAACTGCTATAAAACAAACATATCTCTCATTTCTAACTCAAAAACAATCTTATTCTCAAGAGGCAGCATTTTATTTTTTAAAGTTTTTTGTTTTCTGCTGATGATAACTAGTGCTAGATTTCATATAATCTTCTGGCTAGTTACCAGTCCTCGTCCACAA